TCTTACCTCACTCTTCATCTGCCCCAGAGAGGGGAAGGGGATAAGATGTTCCCACCTGGTGCTCCTGAATGTGCTGTGATGAGATGCCATGTGAGAACCTCAAAGCTGAGCTCCTTCAGCAAAGGTCTCTCCTTAAATCCTTGCCTCAACCTCTGGGTCCTGAACCAGGGATCAAAGATGGGAGCTTCCTCCCTGATCAAAAACCATGTCTTTTGGAAAGCAGTGATGGTTCTCCTGGACCAGTAACAAACTGGGAGCATGATGGGGCCACAGCATTTTAGGCACAGTTGCCTCCACCTCCACAGAGGGGCTGGCAAACACAGGCTGAGGAGGGGTGATAGGACACAGGACCTGTCAGAGGGGAGAGAGGCCAGAGCACTGTTCTGGATAGTTTCATCTTATTTGTCTGCCTTGCAAAACAAATTACCAGACCTGTTCTTGGAGAGCTGTACCTATCTTTGAAGCATCCTTGGCCTTTGTTTTATCATCCCAAACAGCATTAAATGTGACTTGGGAAGGCACCTTATCAGGTGCATCTCCTTGGAAAAGCCTGAAAGGCTTTTGTCACCCTTTCCTTTATTTGTGTTTTGAATTTATTACTCCATATTGCCCAGAGGATCTCAAGCTGGGAAATATATTAGAAAAGGAGATGATGCCACATCCTGAGCAGAGCTGATAATAATGTGGGTGCTACATCTGTGTCACAGAACTCTTCTGCCAGTGTTTCTTTCTGCACTCAAAGCAGGCACTGACTCATCTGTAGGACCAGTCTCATGGCCTGGCATGATAAATGCTGCTGCACTTGCAGAGGGGGAAGCCAAATCAGCTCAAGGGCATGGTACTGGTTGATATTCTGATTTTCTTGGCTTCCAGGCTCAAAGCTGATCAATAACCCACACTGTCTTGAGCTGGATCTTACCACTTTGCTGTGTGTCACCTTCCCCATGCCCAAACTGGAATGCTGGCTGCACCTGGGAGGAGACAGCTGTAACAGGCATTCAGCATCCTCAAAGCTCCCAGAGTTTGGTGCCTTCACCCCCAGGTCAGCCAAGTGCAGGGAGATGTGAGAACAGCAGCTGTTGCACTCCATGTCTGGGACTGCAGGGCAGGCTTGGGGACACCCACTGCGTGCTGTGGGGAGCAGCAGAAAGGTGCCAGTCCCGAGTTTGGCCACAGTGGGTTTTTCAAGCCACCACTGTGCATCAGATTCTGTCTTCTGCAAACAGGGCTGTCCCTTTGGAGGAGCAGGAAGCCTTGGGCAAAGATGATTTGTTGGTGTAAAGGTTCTAACAGCACTTGGCTCTGAAAGCCCAGCAGACTGCTGTTTGCTGCTGTCAGAGAAGCATTGCCTCCATGATCACACACAGGGAAAACTGAATGCTTTTGACATCTCGCCATGCAGACTCCCCACGGACACCATGAGCCAAGACAGCTTTATCCCTGGCTCCCACGGCCTGCCCCCCAGTTGTGAGCATGAAACCAAGCTGGTGAATAATTCTGCTGATGCACAGAAGAAAAAATCCTGTTCTCTCCTCCTGGGGCTGACTGGCAGGGTTAATGGGAGGAAGAGGCTGTGACAACTTGATTTTGTGGCTGAAGTCAGCAGATCTGGCTCCTGGGACACATGGGAACAGGCAGGGAGCAGGAGCCACTTTTGCACAGTCACTTCTCGGAGACAAGCAGGGCTTCAAAAGAAAAATCCTTAGCAGGATGTTGCAACTTGGGAGGGGGAGTTAAAAAAACAGGCAAACAAAAAACCCACAAGTTCTGTAGGGCTGGGAAATGCAGAGTCAATGAATGAAGTTTCCAAAAAGCTCAGCACTTGTGTCTCTTGGTGCAGACAAGGTAACAGCATGAGACAATGCTGGCAATTCCCAAAGATGCTAAAGCTTAGTGTGGTTACTGGATGGGTGCAGGTGTGTGTTACAGGACTCTCCATGTCCACACCAGGTCAGGGCTCCATGGCAGTGTCCTCTGAAGTTGCTACCAGCAGCCACAGGAAGGAGGGAGTCTCATGTACACACCTGGCCAACACAGTCACTTATAGTTGTAGAGGATATTGGATTATCACACAGCCTTGTTGGAAAATCTGACTGGGTCTATCTTAAGCTCCTTCTGTGATCCAGAAGTTGGAGCAGGAGGATGGAACTGGGAAATGGGCAAGCATGAACACCATGCCCACAACACAGCAAGGGGTGGGAGGTTGATTTACTGGGCTGTGCAGCAGGGACCATCATGCCCACACACTGGNAGGACGGGGCTCGGGGGCTGCCGCACCCCGCAGAGGAGCCCCATGGCATCGGGAACCCGCTGAACAAACGCTGAAATAATATGTAAGGTAAACAGGGGCGGAAATCGTTCTGGAAAATTCCTACGTGTTTGCCGAGGCGGTGGGACTGCTTTCTGAAGAGGACACCCTCCCTTTCCCCCTCCCCGGCTCAGAGGGGATGGAACGTGACAGCGCTTTGTCACCTAACTTTGAACGAAGCCATCGCTTCTTCCTAATAAATCTGCTTTGGTGGGAGATGGTGCTTCCCCTGCTCCATGATGAGAACTCTTTATTTCCCGTGCACCAACCCAGCACACCCGCTCTCCGGCCGCCTCCACCTCACCTTGCTGCATTTCTGTCGGCAGGGGCAGGTAAAGCACTCGGGATAAAGAGATCCCGGGCTTGTCAGCACGAAAGATCCCGGGTGTCGTGTAGCTTTCCCAGCGCAGGTGCTCAGGTGGGCAGCACATCCCCTGCAAGCAAGGAGTCTCTGCATCCCCATACAGCTCCTGCCTTTAGGTTTAGACTCACAGTGGGATGCGGGTGGGTTGTTTTTTGGAGGATTCCTGGGGGAAAGCGCCAGGGCAGCAGCACTCTCTGAGTGTCCTGCCTGTGGGAAAAGGTGGCTGCCTGGGTTCAGTCCCAGTTCAGTCCCAGTCAGTCCCAGTTCAGTCCCAGTTCAGTCCCAGTTCAGTCCCAGTTCAGTCCCAATTCAGTCCCAGTTCAGTCCCAGTTCAGCCCCAGTTCAGCCCCAGTTCAGCCCCAGTTCAGTCCCTGTTCAGTCCCAGTTCTGTCCCTGTTCAGTCCCAGTTCTGTCCCTGTTCAGTCCCAGTTCAGTCCCAATTCAGTCTCAGTTTAGTCCCAATTCAGTCCCAGTTTAGTCCCAGTTCAGTCCCAGTTCAGTCCCAGTTCAGCCCCAGTCAGTCCCAGTTCAGTCCCAGTCAGTCCCAGTTCAGTCTCAGTTCAGTCCCAGTTCAGTCTCAGTTCACTCCCTGTCAGTCCCAGTCAGTCCCAGTCAGTCCCAGTTCAGCCCCAGTTCAGCCCCAGTTCAGCCCCAGTTCAGCCCCAGTTCAGTCCCAGTTCAGTCCCAGTTCCCCCAGTTCAGCCCCAGTTCAGTCCCAGTTCAGTCCCAGTTCAGTCCCAGTCAGTCCCAGTTCAGTCCCAGTTCAGTCCCAGTTCTGTCCCAGTTCTGTCCCAGTTCTGTCCCAGTTCAGCCCCAGTTCACTCCCAGTTTAGTCCCAGTACAGTCCCAGTCACTCCCAGTTCAGTCCCAGTCAGTCCCATTTCCGTCCCAGTCGGCCCCAGTTCAGTCCCATTTCCGTCCCATTTCCGTCCCATTTCCGTCCCATTTCCGTCCCATTTCCGTCCCAGTTCAGCCCCAGTTCAGCCCCAGTTCAGCCCCAGTTCAGCCCCAGTTCAGCCCCAGTTCAGCCCCAGTTCAGTCCCTCCTCCTTTGCCAGATGGAGCCACTTGCGTGCCACACGTCTCCAGCAGCCGGTGGGTGGATCATAGCAGCTATCAAGGTGGTCTTTTAAGCTGTCATGCTTCTGGTGAAGGTATATTGGGAAGTGTGGGAGTGTTGGTTTTTTTTTTCCTGCAGGAAGAAAAGTCCTGCTGAGGAAGCTCTGTGAGATGATGGCAGAGCAGCTTCGGGACGGGCAGGGCGCAAAGTGGGGATTTCATGCCCCGCAAGGATGGGCAGAGGTGGGAGCCCCTCGGTGCCGGAGCCTCCAGGCTGCCTTGGGATTTGATGCTCAGCGAGGGTGGGCTCGGGGGGCTCATTCCTGCCAACAGGGGAGGAAAAGCAGATACATTTCAGTGCGTTTCAAAGGAAGGGGGTCAGCTTTTTTTTGATGTTGCAAATGTATCGTGATAAAAGGATCGTCCCCCGCTCAGCGCTTTTTATTCTTTGCCTTTAGGATTAAGACAATTCCCATTGTTTATCTTCTCACATCAGAAACAAAGGCTGCCGGAGGCAATAAACAGAGTTAGAAGGATCCCAGGAATTATCAGATATTCGAGGAATGAGTGTGCCTCGTATGTCTTCACGTGTGTGGGCTCGGCATGCTCGGCGTTATCCCAGGGCGCTGCCAGCTTGTGCCCAGCACACAGGACGGATCAGTTCTGCACAGAGGTGTGTGTGCACGGAATGGCAGTGAATGGTGAAGTTTGCTTTTCCAGAAACCTGCTGGATTAGTGATTAAGCTCAGTTGTGGGCTTTTTTTTTGCTTTTTTTTTTTTTTTTCCTCTCCCCCTAAAGCTCTAAAGCTTCTTTGGACCTGTAGAGACTCGCATTCCCCCAGCGCTTTGGAGAGATGCCGCTCGCAGTGCTTTGAGCTAAGGGTTTCTGTGAGCCTGGCTTTGTGGGGAGAGCTCTTCTTCTGGCCATGCCGTGGTGTCTGATGGATAAAAGGATATAGGGATCTCTCAAAGGGATCACTCTGCTACAGTGGCCGGAAGGGATTTCCCAAATCTTTTCATTAAACAAACTAAGCTACTTTCTCCCTGGTTAGGAAGCAAACCTCAGGTGTTTTTTCTCAGTGTCATGAGTTTGGCTTGTTGCTTATCCAGAAAGCCTCTGCTCTCCAAATCTGAAAGAGATGCTCTGTTCCTACTTCTTGTGGAAGCCTCAGGCTTCCTTCTGCCTTTGGAGGCTCAGATTTGCCTCCTGCCTCTTCAGGCAGAGGTTTGTAAATTAAATAAAGGGCTGTAGATAGAGCCTTTGACATTTTGCTGGCTGGGCACAGGAAGGTCCCTCTGTCTTCTGCTTTATCCCTGAAGGAGAACAGTGCTTTATACAGGGGAAGCAGATGAGTTACTTTTCAAAGCAAATTGCACTTTGTAGACACTTTAACCTGCACGTGCAGTGATGTGGTTAAATTTGGAACCGAGGCCTCTTCTGCTCCAAACCCATCCTGATGCTGAGGATGTTTCAAAGAGACTTCTAGCCAAACAAGCATCCTTCCACAGCTGGCACAGGAGTGCCAGGCTCTGCTTTCAGTCCAGTTGTTTAGTTAGCTAGTTATTAATTTATTTACCTATTTTGGAGAGAAGGAAGTTCACATGAAGGAGTGAACTAGAAAATGTGCAAAGTGGGTTGTGGATGTAAACATCCACTAAATGCATGAGGCACTGGGGCCCACTGCCTTGCTCTCTTGGCTTTCAGAGGATTTGAATGATGAGAGAACAGAAAACATCAGATACAACAGGGTAAGGTCCTTTAGGGATGAGACCCCTGATTATCAAAACTATCTGGGAATCATTACAGCCTCTCTCCATTTTCTTGCAGCTAAAACTGGCTCTGGAGGAGGCTGTCCATATGGACATGTTTGGTCTGAGATGTGGTTATGCCATTTTAGAGCAGGGTGTACCACCAGCAGCTCTGTCTACCCATCCTTTACAGGGATTTAAAATTTCCGTCTGGGCTTGGGACTTGGCTTAAAGGGCCAGGAGCACAGATGGGCTTTTAAAACCTTAAAAAACAAAATTATTTTGAGTGCTCTGGGAAAGCTTGAAGACATTGTGAGGGTCCAAACAAACCTGGCTAAGCAGCTGCTCTCTAACCACTTTTGAGGGCTGGTGAGGAAGGGATAAAAGGAGTTTGGATTTCCCTGGCTTCCTTTCATCTGAACATCACAAGGTGCTTTACAAACAGGGGGTCCAATTCTCTGCCAGCTTAGGAGAGGGGATGTTGCAAGAGCAGCCAAAATATTCATTTTGTTTGGGTCATTATGCAATGCAGAGGATTTGAGAGGAAGCATCCCTGGATCTCCTGCATTTTCATCCTGCTGGTTTTAAACCAGCCTTTATTTTTTTCAAGTGAGTCCTCCACAACTTTGATAGTGGGGAGAGATCACTTCACCTGGAGCCTGGCATAGTTTAATTTTGTACATTCCTTGCATTGTCATTGCAATGCTCCCATCTTCCACCTGGTGAGGAACTGGTCCAGCATTTTCCCTTCAGATGCTGTGCTGCCCTGGCACAGCTTTGGCAGCTGCAGCTGGTTCTAACACAGAGCTGTTCCTGCCAGGCTCTGCTCCCCTCTTTTTTGCCCTGAGGACAGTGTCAGGAAGGTTCCCAGCTCACATCTGTCCCAGCAGCCAGGATGGTAGCTTGCAGCATTTTGGGTTTGATGAGGAATTTCCTTACTTTGAGGGGTGCTGCGGGTGGCTCTTCGCTTCTGGGATGCTCAGGGCTCCTTTGCATTGCTCTGGGGATCCTGTCAGATCCACAAGGTCAGTGCATGAACCCATGGAACCCGTTCCCAAGGCTGTGAGGTGGAAAATTGAAACTGCTGGAAATATATTTGAAATTTTATTTCTTTGTAGGTCTTCTGGCAATACCGGCTGATTTTAGCTCAGTGATGAAAATGGACTGGTTGTGGGCTGCACCCTGCAGGTTGCACCCAGTGGTCCTGGACTTTCCAAACAAGTCTGGCATGACTCTGAGGACAACTGTCCTTCAGGGCTGTGTTTGCCAGGGTGTAGGAGGGCCCCTCTAGCTCATCACTGGTGATGGGCATTTCTGTCCTTTCCTAAGAAAGCCTCAAGTAAAATTATACCCCTGTCTTTCACAGCAGAACCTAACTCTAGGGAGGATGCACAGGAGGGATAAAACCACCCTGCACACCAGGCTGTGAAGAACTGGATAAGCTCCCAATATGAGCAACAGCAAGAGGCAGGTTTCTTTTTTGCAATGGCTTGATGTGACTCCATGAATCAGAAATGGACTTTTGCATTAAAGCAAAAAAAGTGTTTATGTTGCTCTGGTGAGAGCTACTGTCTGCTTGATTAATTCTTCCTCACAGATGTAGAGAAATGCATCACAGCCACTTTCTTAAAATGATGAAATTGCTGAGCAGTCCTGGAGTTTAACAGTTTCTAGGACTCTTTAACTGAGTCTCTTGGCCAATGGAGAGCAGCTTGGGGTCTGTTGAAAGTTGGGAGAGATCAAACTAATCCTGTAGAAGGCTTTTTTTTTTTTTTTTTTTTGCCATGTATTTGCAAATTCTGATCAAAACTTAAAGCTCATCAGATTTTCTGCAACCAAGTCTAGCCTGAAGCACTGCAGGAGTTGGCCTGCACTTGCCCCCTCTTGCAACAAGGCAAGAGGAGTTGTATTCAGGAGAATACAACCAAGAGAAGTTGGATTCAGGTGTTGTACCTGAATCCAGGAGTAGCTTCTGTTGGCTTAGGAAGGAAGTAAAGGAAATTTCCTCCACATTCAAAGCAGATTTCCAAACCAGATGCTGTTCAGGCTCTTCCCAGCTTCCATCCTGCTCTTCCCCATTACAAATTGGAGATTTTGCCCCCACATGCTCAGACAAAAAAAATGCAGCGCTGGCTCAGGACCAGCAGCTGTCCCCAAAGGCTTGTGATGGGAGAGGCAGGGCACCACCAGGGCTGGGACATGGGTGTTTGCTGGGGGCACACGGTGTTAAATGCAGGGTCCAAGGGATGGGGGACAGGATTGGAAGTGCAGGTTTATCCTTGAGCTGAGGGGTGGAGGTGTTGGCACAGCACTGCCTCCTCCTGGGTGACTCTTCTGGCAGCTGTTAACTGGAGCTGAAGAGTAGGTGTGAAAAGCAGGTTTCAGCCAAGAGATGGTGGCCTGGCTGTGACAGGAAGGACTGAGGCACACAAGCTGTATTTCTTTCCAAGAAAGAGACCAGACAGCTTCTCAGATGATGACCTGTAAATCAGTTTACACTTAGAAAGGCAGGATGTCTAATCCCAGGAGGGGATGCCTGGTCCCTGGGAGGGCCAGGTCTGCTACAGAGCCAGCAGCTGGACAAGGGCAACCTTGCAGGTGTTCCACAGATCCTGACAGGAACATGCCCAAGCTGGCAGGCTTGAGGAACCATGGATGTGGTGTGCCCTACCAGGCTGGTGCTGTTGGCACTGGGAGACTGGCACTAAGCCCAGTGTGGGACACCATGAGAAATCTTGGGAGCTCTCTGGAGCATCATCTGGCCTGCCAGACTGAGACATCTTTCTGTGCCTTCACTGCTTGGTAGGAGAAAGCAACAAAGCAAAGATGAAGCACTCAGGACCTCTCCCTGCATGGATCTATCTATGGAGACAGATGCATGCAGGGATGCACGGGCTTTTTCCATGGATTTTCCACATTCTAAACAAACCTTTGGTTCTTCCCTAGAAGAAACTTGCCTGCATGAGCAGTCACAATCCTTAGGAGAATCCTGAGTCACTGCTGACTGTCCCTGCAGCCTCAGGAGGCACAGAGATGTGCCTGCTGAGCCCTCCACAGGCAGGGGGGTGTTTGATACCTCTCAGACAGGAGCAGAGCTGAATCATCTTCACAGTTGAAGGCTTGGACAAGCCTTTTGTGGCCTTGGCCACTCAACCTTGTGGGAAGGTTGAGTATTTGCTGAGCAGGGTGAAGCTTCTGAGCCTGATTTCAGAACATCTATTTGAGTGGTTTATCAGGGATGCCACTGGTTGGGTCTGAGAGTTCTCATCTTCAGGAAAATATTCCCAAAATGAGACAATACAAAGAGTTCCCACTTGAAACTCATTTGTTTGGAAAAAAAAGAAACACCAGAGGTCTCTGCTTTCCCCAAGGTATCTTCTCTGACTCACCTCAATTGAGTATTTGTCAGTGACTGAAATTTCTGTGCCTTTCCATGGCAGGGAATCTTCCCTCTCCTCCTGGCTCTATCTGCCAGATGCTGTGGCTCTTTCAATGTCTCTTAGTCAATTATTCTTCCTAATGAATGTACTATCATAATTTTTATTTAAGCAGGGCTTTCTGACATCCCCCACCTTTCCAAAGCTCCCTGGATCTGAGATTTACTTATTTGCCATCTTGCAGAGTGCATCTGCTGCAGCTGCTTAAATTATGGGGCTTCATTCCTGATCTCAGTACTTCAGATGGGGAAAAAAGGAAGGAATTTCTGACAGTTTCCTCCTAAATCAATGACTCCTAAGAGGGAGTCTGTTCTGCAAGTGACTTGCCTGGATTTAAAGGCAGAAAATAAAATTTAAAGGAGAAAATAAACATACAAGGCCACGATGAAGCAAGAAGACAAAACTTGAAAAAATTGTGTGGGCAGCAGCTCCCCTCTTGAAACATTCTTTGCCCAGTCTTGGAAAAGGAAGAAAATACGCCATTGTTTGGGTTTGTTTTCCACAAGCAGGGCTGTTTTGAGGCTGCATGTGAGACTTAAATTTTAATCTGGAGCTCTGCATAGCAATTGAGATGTGATGTCATGATAGAGATCTGCATTGAGACTTTGCAGAGGACAGGAGCTGTTTGTTGTGTTCATCCTGCTGTGCCTGTCTAGCTCTCTGTGCAGGTAGACAAAGGCTCTGGCTGTGGATTTGATCACTTCAGCCCAGGGAAACAAAGTTTGGAGCAAAGTTCTTGTTAAGGACCAGGCAAAAAGCTCTAGAGCCAGGTTTCCATGGGGACCGTGGGATGCTGCAGATGGGTTTGGTTCCTGACAGCCCTGGTGCTCCACAGCTCCTGAGAAACATGAGATGGAAGCATCTCTGAGTGCTGATGAGGGCAGAGCCTGTTCCCCAGCTCTTACCTCACTCTTCATCTGCCCCAGAGAGGGGAAGGGGATAAGATGTTCCCACCTGGTGCTCCTGAATGTGCTGTGATGAGATGCCATGTGAGAACCTCAAAGCTGAGCTCCTTCAGCAAAGGTCTCTCCTTAAATCCTTGCCTCAACCTCTGGGTCCTGAACCAGGGATCAAAGATGGGAGCTTCCTCCCTGATCAAAAACCATGTCTTTTGGAAAGCAGTGATGGTTCTCCTGGACCAGTAACAAACTGGGAGCATGATGGGGCCACAGCATTTTAGGCACAGTTGCCTCCACCTCCACAGTTTCATCTTATTTGTCTGCCTTGCAAAACAAATTACCAGACCTGTTCTTGGAGAGCTGTACCTACCTTTGAAGCATCCATGGCCTTTGTTTTATCATCCCAAACAGCATTAAATGTGACTTGGGAAGGCACCTTATCAGGTGCATCTCCTTGGAAAAGCCTGAAAGGCTCTTGTCACCCTTTCCTTTATTTGTGTTTTGAATTTATTACTCCATATTGCCCAGAGGATCTCAAGCTGGGAAATATATTAGAAAAGGAGATGATGCCACATCCTGAGCAGAGCTGATAATAATGTGGGTGCTACATCTGTGTCACAGAACTCTTCTGCCAGTGTTTCTTTCTGCACTCAAAGCAGGCACTGACTCATCTGTAGGACCAGTCTCATGGCCTGGCATGATAAATGCTGCTGCAGTTGCAGAGGGGGAAGCCAAATCAGCTCAAGAGCATGGTACTGGTTGATATTCTGATTTTCTTGGCTTCCAGGCTCAAAGCTGATCAATAACCCACACTGTCTTGAGCTGGATCTTACCACTCTCCTGTGTGTCACCTTCCCCATGCCCAAACTGGAATGCTGGCTGCACCTGGGAGGAGACAGCTGTAACAGGCATTCAGCATCCTCAAAGCTCCCAGAGTTTGGTGCCTTCACCCCCAGGTCAGCCAAGTGCAGGGAGATGTGAGAACAGCAGCTGTTGCACTCCATGTCTGGGACTGCAGGGCAGGCTTGGGGACACCCACTGCGTGCTGTGGGGAGCAGCAGAAAGGTGCCAGTCCCGAGTTTGGCCACAGTGGGTTTTTCAAGCCACCACTGTGCATCAGATTCTGTCTTCTGCAAACAGGGCTGTCCCTTTGGAGGAGCAGGAAGCCTTGGGCAAAGATGATTTGTTGGTGTAAAGGTTCTAACAGCACTTGGCTCTGAAAGCCCAGCAGCCTGCTGTTTGCTGCTGTCAGAGAAGCATTGCCTCCATGATCACACACAGGGAAAACTGAATGCTTTTGACATCTCGCCATGCAGACTCCCCACGGACACCATGAGCCAAGACAGCTTTATCCCTGGCTCCCACGGCCTGCCCCCCAGTTGTGAGCATGAAACCAAGCTGGTGAATAATTCTGCTGATGCACAGAAGAAAAAATCCTGTTCTCTCCTCCTGGGGCTGACTGGCAGGGTTAATGGGAGGAAGAGGCTGTGACAACTTGATTTTGTGGCTGAAGTCAGCAGATCTGGCTCCTGGGACACATGGGAACAGGCAGGGAGCAGGAGCCACTTTTGCACAGTCACTTCTCGGAGACAAGCAGGGCTTCAAAAGAAAAATCCTTAGCAGGATGTTGCAACTTGGGAGGGGGAGTTAAAAAAACAGGCAAACAAAAAACCCACAAGTTCTGTAGGGCTGGGAAATGCAGAGTCAATGAATGAAGTTTCCAAAAAGCTCAGCACTTGTGTCTCTTGGTGCAGACAAGGTAACAGCATGAGACAATGCTGGCAATTCCCAAAGATGCTAAAGCTTAGTGTGGTTACTGGATGGGTGCAGGTGTGTGTTACAGGACTCTCCATGTCCACACCACGTCAGGGCTCCATGGCAGTGTCCTCTGAAGTTGCTACCAGCAGCCACAGGAAGGAGGGAGTCTCATGTACACACCTGGCCAACACAGTCACTTATAGTTGTAGAGGATATTGGATTATCACACAGCCTTGTTGGAAAATCTGACTGGGTCTATCTTAAGCTCCTTCTGTGATCCAGAAGTTGGAGCAGGAGGATGGAACTGGGAAATGGGCAAGCATGAACACCATGCCCACAACACAGCAAGGGGTGGGAGGTTGATTTACTGGGCTGTGCAGCAGGGACCATCATGCCCACACACTGGACAAAGGAAATGCTGAAAGCTTTTGAGGTGCTTGCTCCCTCATTCTCCTAATGCTGACACCAAGAGCAGCTCTGTGGCTCTTTCTGCTGAGGATCATGCTGTGGAAAGCAGTACACATGGTCCTCTCCACACATGGCCAGTCTTTTCCAGACCAGCAAAGACCTCATGGCCCTATTCACAAGCTGGGCTGCTGGAGGATGTGCCCAGCCTGTGCAGTTTTACCCTGGCAGGCTCCTGAATCTGCTTCAAACCCTGCTTGAATCCCAAGTGACAGGAAACCTGGCAGTTCCCAGAGGCCATCCCTGCCTGCTGGGATCTGGGGCAGCTAAAAGCAGCCTCCAGGAGGGAAGTGGTTTGGAGGGCAGTGTTTGCTGGTGATGAGCACACAGCCACGCTGTGGGAGCACTGTGGCAGATGGAGCTGGCAGCCAAGTGCCTGTCCTGCTTGTTTTGGCTGACTTCAGAGACCTCTGGCTTTTCCTAGTAGCACTTGGATATGCCGATACTCAGGAGACCTGACCAGGCACATTCACACAGCGCTGAAAATATCTTCCTTGCAGGCAACAGAGGCAAAGGGGAGCCAAGAGCTGGACTCCCCAAGAGACAGGGATAGGCTGCAGAGGGATGGTTGTTTAGCTTGGGCTTGTTCTCTGTCAGCCAAAAATGCATCCTGCAGAGCCACTGCTGTGGCACATTTAAAGGTGACCCCAGATGGGCAGCAGGTCTCAGCTATGGAGGGGCTAAGAGGTTCCTCCAGCCTCCTCACCCTTTGTGCTGCTGTCGTGGCAGGTACCTGGCAAAGCTGTCTTCAGTGGGGAGCATCTCCGAGGAGGAGACCTGTGAGAAGCTGAAGGGCTTGATCCAGCGCCAGGTGCAGATGTGCAAGAGGAACCTGGAGGTGATGGACTCAGTGAGGCGTGGAGCCCAGCTGGCCATCGAGGAGTGCCAGTACCAGTTCCGCAACCGCCGCTGGAACTGCTCCACGCTGGACACCCTGCCTGTCTTTGGCAAGGTGGTGACACAAGGTGAGCTGGAAGGATGTGTGCCTGGGGTGATGCTGCTGGCTGTAAAAGCGGTCTGGTGGGCTGCAAGTGGGATTTTGTCTCCTTGCCCCTGAGCTGGTGGCTGGGGAGGGTCAGGAATGGCCCAGCCAGTGCTGGATCTTGGTGTGGATGGGTCCCTGTGTACCTCAGCAGGGCTCATTCACTGTGCTGGGTACAGCATATCCAGACTCCTGCTGCTCCTCAGCTCCCCTGAACCTTTTTCACACCCATTGACAAGGACATGCCAAGTTTGAACAAAGGTGCTGAAGTCACCCTGTGGTCTCATCTCTTCCCCACCAAACCCAGGAGCTCCACTCCATAAAGCCATGGGTGCATTTACTCAGTCTCTTTCTGGGCAGTGCTGGAGCAGTGGCTGCTGCCAGGCTGGCACGTGGCCACTCTTGAGCTGAGCATCAGTGGGGGCACCATCAGGAGGATGGCTCAGTGCTGCCTGGCATGGGAAGGACATGTGGCAGCACCACTGCCTGCTACCAGCCTTCAGGGCTGGGAATGGCCAGCCCCCAGCCCCTCTGATCCCAGCTGCACCCTGACTTCCCAGAAGCACAGGATCAATCAAAGCAGAGCACTGGAGTGAGGACACAGAGGGGAAAACCCCTCTGCAACCCCTTAAGATCACTGAAGCATCCCTTGCCTCTCCTCAGGTGCTGTCTCTGAGACACTGTCTCACCTCCCATCCCAGGACCCCTAGACCAAAGCAACCCCCTGGCTCCTTATTTGACTTTCCTCCCCTCAATGCAGGGGTGAAGATTTCTTGTGAAGGTTCAGGGACTGGAAATACCAGAAATACCAGAAACTAAAAGTCGTCTCTTTTTAGGCAGCCACAGCACAAACCGACCAACATGATCCTACTATTAACCTCGATTAACTTGGAGGCAGTTCAGTCCCCACACTGGCTGGGTCCTCCCCAGCCACTGCCAGCTGGGCCACCAAAGTCTGGGATGCGACCACCAAAGTAGCTGCCCTCTCTCTGACCGGCAAGCTGAGTGATGCCTGCTCACAAGCCATCCCCCCTGTGTCCCAAGCATGGGACCACCTCAAATACCAGCCCTCCTTGCTCAGAAATGAGGGTTTGTGTCCTCAACCGGCCTCGGAGGATAGTGGGGGTTTGTGTGTTGCTAAAGCTGATCCCTGCCACTGCTACTCTGTGTGTTCACACCCAGGGATGCTCCCAGCTTCCCAAACAGGCTTTTCTCAACCATGTGGCACCACACAGAGCTGGGACTGCACTGCACCCTGGATGTCAATCAGTGGGGCTGGGTGAGGTGCTTTGGAAGCAGAACAGCATTTTGCAGGGTAGTTTGTGAGGCATTGCAAGCTCCAGGACCCTGTGAAAGAGGCTGGCAAGGATCTGCAGGGAATGTTCCTGGATGTGGAAAGCAGACAGCTATTTTGGATGCAGGAAAGATTTCATGGCAAGACAGTCTTCCATATAAGCTCTGGAGAGCTCTGCCCACACTGGCAGTGCAGGCTCTGTCTTTCCTTTTGCCAGGTTTTATCACTCAGCCATGTTTTTAATGTTGTGGGGCAGTCCCCAGCTTCTTCACTATGGCAAGAATGGGCCCTCACTTCTGGAAAACATCTCCCAGCACCCAGGGGTCTCTGATGAGCCAGGTCCAGGCTTGGCACTAAGCAAAGAGCATCCCTGGGGGTGGACACAGGGAGGGTCCTGCGTGTGCTGATTCATCTTAGGAGGAAGTGACAGAGCAAAAAGCTTGGCCTGATAGCTCTGTATAGTGTGCTTTGCCAAGAGCTGTCTTTCAGACCAGCTTTTCAGGGGGGTTGATGTGCCACACCAGCGTTAAGAGGGGAGAGGAGAAGACTCACACGTGTGACAGTCCACCAAGGGCATTTGGCCACCGGGCTGCACTGCCTGCAGACCTCCCTCTCGTGTTGCCTCGGGCTTGCTGCCCTTTCCCACCATGGTCTGTGCCATTGCAGGGACGCGGGAGGCAGCGTTCGTCTATGCCATCTCTTCGGCAGGGGTGGCCTTCGCCGTGACCCGCGCCTGCAGCAGCGGCGAGCTGGACAAGTGTGGATGTGACCGCACGGTGCAGGGGGGCAGCCCGCAGGGTGAGTGTCTGAACAGCTGCCTGGGGATGAAAAGCAGCCAAAATACCTGCAATTCAAAGCCACTCTCTGGAGCCATGCAGAAAGGAGGGGAAAGTTTAAAAAAATGAAACTCTGGCTAGTCCATCACTGTCCATCACCCACAGGACAGAAAGCATCTTGTCTGTGTGTCCCCCAAGGCTACACTCCATCACGTTGCACAGACTAGAAAGCAGCAAGACAGAGAGGGGACAGGCCAGCTGGATTTTAGGAAGAGCAGGGCTAGAGGGTGGCACTAGAGGGTGGCAGTACCTGTCTCATCTGTGCTCTCTGCCTCAGGCTTCCAGTGGTCGGGCTGCTCCGATAACATCGCCTACGGCGTGGCCTTCTCGCAGTCCTTCGTCGACATCCGCGAGAGGAGCAAAGGGGCCTCTTCCAACAGAGCGTTAATGAACCTCCACAACAACGAGGCAGGGAGGAAGGTAATGGCAAGGAGGAAACCTTGGTGCTGCTCTGCAGCATCCCAGCTGGGCTCTGCAGCCACAGCTTGAGCCATTTGAGCTTTTTTTAATCCCGTACCCACCCAGCAGTGTTTTCTGTGCCCATCTCTTGCTGAGCATCCATCCCATCGTGTTCCTTGTGTGTGTTCCTGCAGGCCATCCTGAACAACATGCGGGTGGAGTGTAAGTGTCACGGTGTGTCAGGCTCGTGCGAGTTCAAGACGTGCTGGAAAGCCATGCCCCCCTTCCGCAAAGTGGGCAACGTCCTGAAGGAGAAATTCGACGGTGCCACGGAGGTCGAACAGAGCGAGATTGGATCCACCAAAGTGCTGGTGCCCAAAAACTCCCAGTTCAAGCCACACACAGACGAGGACCTCGTCTATCTAGACTCCAGTCCTGACTTCTGTGACCACGACCTCAAGAACGGGGTCCTGGGCACCAGTGGGCGGCAGTGCAACAAGACCTCCAAGGCCATCGATGGCTGCGAGCTGATGTGCTGCGGCCGTGGCTTTCACACGGACGAAGTGGAGGTTGTGGAAAGGTGCAGCTGCAAATTCCACTGGTGCTGCTCCGTCAAGTGCAAGCCCTGCCATCGGGTGGTGGAGATCCACACGTGCCGGTGATGCACGCGGGGAGAGCGCCCACCTGTACCCTCTTTAACTGACCCTGCTTCTCCCTTGCCCCACAGCCAGGACTGAGGAAGTGACCCAGATGCTGCAGGGAGAGCACAGCTCTTTACAGAGACAGAACCACAGAGAAAAAACAGATTTTAAAGAAAAAAATATTTAAAGTTTAAAAAAACTGATCATTGTTGGCTTTTTTTTTTATTTTGTTTTGTCTGCTTTGCTGTATTTATTGCTGAAGCCAGAGCCCCTTTGCTCTCTGGTTGTCTGGGGACCTGTGTGATACCAGCTCCTGTCAGATGGGCTCCTGCTGCTTTTGGAGTGCTGCAGACAAGAAGTGTTTAAGGCAAGGGTAGTGCAGCATTTGAAATATTCTATTGCAGTTATTTTTGTTTGTTTAAAGGCACGTGCTGAGCATCCTGGAGCACTGCTGCCCTGGCTAAGCCTCAGGAAGGGAAGGAGTGCAGCCAGCCTGTGCATGGCAAGGGACAGGCAGGTGGTGACAGGGTGGCACTGTCCCCCAAGGGTTAACTTCCATGTGGAGCCCAGCCAGGGTGATCAGTTTATGAGAGCAATGTGAGACACTCCTACACCTCTTTGCTGTGGGATGCTCAAAGGCCTCCTGGGCAATGGATGGATTTTGGAGCAGCTCCAGTGCCTGCTCTGATTTACAGAAGCTCCTCGGTGGCTGCCTAGGGCATGATGCTCCCACCATTGCTCCTTTTCCCCCATCTCTTCTCCAGGACCTGGTTCCACTGGAGACAGTGAAAGGCAGTGATACCTGCAATCCACTGACTCTTAATGGAGCTGGGAGCTGATGGGAGAAAAACCAAGTTGATTTCTTCTCCTCTGTCCCATAATTGCCCCCACCTTGAATACATCCCACAACAGGTCTCCTCTTTCTCCTCCACGTTCATCTCACTCAGGGAGGCACTGGGGGACAGTCCCTATCCTGCTGAATGCTGAGAAAAGCAAAAATATAAAATGGAGCAGTTGCTGGGGGTGGAGGAATGCTGGTGCTCTGCTGCTATTGCTGTCACACCCTTAGGAAGGCACAAGAGAAAGACTCAGCCAGAGGGATGCTGCCATGCGTGCTCTGGCCACACAGATTTAGTGCAGCAGGGCCCCAGCTGTCCTGTCCTGCTCCCTGGGACACTGCCACGAGGATAAGGCACTGTCCTGCCTGCGCTGCCTTCCCTCTGCCTAGGACTGGGTTAGTGCAGAGCCCTTGCTGTTGGGCTGCAGTACAAAATATTTGAAGAACTAATAAGCAGAGGGGCACTGTGAGGGAAGGTGGAAAGTGAAAACCAGTTCCTCTCTCCCTCACCCACTGGTCTATGAGTCAAGAAGTAAAAGGGAGGCAGAGAAAAACCTCAAAATGGAACCTCAAGCCAACAGGTGAGGAGTCAGCACTGCCAAGCCCTCCTGTGTAGGAGGGAGATCCCTGCATGGTCCAGGAAAGCCTAGAGCTGAAGGAGGGGGTCCCTGCAAAACCTGCAGTCTTGTTCTTCCTTGAGAAGGGAAAGGCTGGGGGAATGCACAGGCCTGTGTGAAATCCCATCTGTGCCACGGCAGTGATGGGCTGGGGGAGAGCCTGTGGTCACTGGAAGGTCTCCAGACACCATCTGCTGACAACAGTGCAGGGTGAGGGAGGCTTGCATTAGGGCAAACCCCAGCACAGCCCAGCTGCCTCCCCCTCCTGCCTGCTCAGCACCAGTTCCAATAAACCTCCAGCAAAATGGTCCAGATGGTGGAAGGGGACACCCCTAGGTGGGTCCTGAGGTGGAGCAATGTGGGTTGATCCATGGCAGTGCAAACCAGAGATCTCCTCACCAGAGCAAGGTTTGCCTCTCTCAGTTGGCCAAGGGTGCAGCATTAAATCCCCAGGGAGGGGGGAAATCTAAGCTGTGCCTCCCCTGGTTTCATCTCTTCAGCCCCCCAAGGCTGCAAATCCTCAAATACCTTAGAGACAGCTCTTCCCTTCCCAGCTCATGCAGAGGTCACAGACCTCAGGCCATTGGCCAAGTCTTCTGCTCCTTGTCCATTTAGGATGAGGGCCAAAGCTGAACAAGACAATCTGAATCAGCATGGAGATAATCTCTGCAGATGGGATTTTTTCAGGCTGCAGTGAAAGCTAAGCCCTGCAAATGCCACCCAGGGATAGTTTGTCTCAGCAGTGCTCTGGCTCTTCTTACAACTTCAGTTTCAACACCAGAGAGGGGTTTAGAAATGCATTTTCATATTTATTTTGTCTGTTAAATAACGGGTTTGTGCTGAACAAGCCATGGGGTTTTCCTGTCCTGAAATCAGCTCCACTGGGCTGTGTAAAACCATAACGTGCTGCAAACATCTCGTGCATGATGGTCTCCTCCCAGGAGTCCTTAGCTGGGAAGAGAGGTGCCCACATGGTGCCTCCTGGCAATGCAAGGAGACACTAAAGCTCTCTTTGTCCCTCCTCCAGTCTCTCTGCAGGAGATGCTGGTGTTTGGACCACAGGTGGCATCCCTGCTTTCCCACCAGTGGAAACACAGCTTGCTTCTGCCTTAACCACTTTACACACCACTGGCTTAAGAGGCAACTTATTTTAGATTTCAGTAAGTCTGTGACTTCCTCCTGTGGAGAGGGCATCAATATCCACCTGATTAGAACAGAGCTCCCCTGCCCTGCCCACAGCCAAGGAGCCCCAGCTACCTTGTGTGCTGCTGGAAGCCTCCTGCCATGGGCTCAAGATGTGTTTGAGCTGGGAGGGGGCAAGAACTGTCCACAGATGCCAAGTCAGGGACCTGCTGCCTTCTGCCTCCATCCCTGTGCTGCGGGATTTGGAGGGGATGCATTGCCCAATACCCAGGTATGCTCCAAGCTGCCCACAGAAAGTGCATTTTGCTTGTTCCTTGCCCTTCCCCTAAGCCAGGAGCATTGGCTGCTTCCTCTTCACACTGTTCCCTACAGTCTGGAGCTTCTTGCTTCAGCAGGGGTTGCTGCTGGCTCCAGCTGCACTCTGCTTTGTCTCCTTTCTTTAGCTGTAGCTCTCCATTTGTGTGCTCTCAAAGCTCACCTTTTCATACCAGTGTCTTCTCATTTTCAAACCAGTGTCTTCTCTTCCTTTGGCCTCTGTGCTGGCAGAGCTTGAGGGAAATTTTGTTAAGTTTAATTTGTTGCAGAAAGAGGATGGTAGGATGGGAGAAAATTCTGCCTGAACCTCCCAAAAACCCTTATTTCCAATAGCTCCTCTCTTCCCCTGGTGGATCCCACTCCTCCAGCACTTCTTTTCCCCATTCCAGCTTCAGCCTCAGGTAAGGAATTGTCTCCAGTGAAAAAAAAGATGCTTCACTCTTCTCCTGAAACAAGGTTTAGGGAGACACTGGCTTCTCTGTGATCCTAGAGAGAGCAAGATATTTGTGTTCTCCTCTTCCAATGCCCTCCTCCTACTCCACCTGTCCCCTGCATCCCACACGCATCAGACCACATCACACGGTGCCTCTCCCCACCACTGCATCCTGCCACATGCTCAGCCCCATTCCAGCCCCACAGGCCCAGCATGAGGTCCTCATCCTCAGTCCCCCAACATCTCCTTAGTAAGCTCATCCCTCCTCTGAGAACTCACAGGCTGACATCTCCACCCAGCCTCTCCCCCTCATAAACCTTCCTGGATGTCCCTCTGCCAACTCGAGATCACCACAGCAAAAACAGGACATCACCTCCAAGTCCTCCCCACCCTGCTCCAAAGGGTAAATTCAGGATTTTTTTCCCATTCCCCAAACTCCCAACTTTACTACCATGTTTTGCTACTTCTGTTTTCTTCCTTTTCTGCTGGAAAAACACATTTAGGTGTCAGGTACCTTCAGCCTCAGCTATTCCAAGCTCTGGGCTTCACATTTCCCAACTCTTCATCCCAGATCCAGTCCAAGGCCAGCACAGCCAAGCACATGGGCAGAGCTGGTATTTTTCTCCAGCTGTTTTGACCACATCACCCTCATGCCCTTTTCTGGCCAAGGACACTTCCATCACTCCCAACTATCTCATTCTCACTCCCTGGGCAAGTTCAGCCTCACCCTCCTTGCAAAGCAATTAAATCACTGTGGGTGACATTAATGATGCTGATGGAGCATAAGTTAGCACTCACATCCTTTCCCTCCCTCACACACCATCAGTGAACATTACAGCAAATCCCTTTGCATATTCCTTCAGCAATGAGCACAGTAATTCTCCTTCATCTCCATCTCTCCCTTTATCCACATGACTTTACCAGCTGGCTGTAGGGAAGCAAGAAGTGTCTAGGACCACCAAAGAGATACTTCAAGGACAGAATGATGTCTCACTGCATGGACAGGTAAAGAAGAGGATCAGTCCTCCTCAGAGCTGTCACACCACACACACCATGCCACCCAAAACTGGGCATGACAGGCCTCACATCAGCCTGGCACAGGAGAACCCACACTGGGGTGACCATCCCTTCCACCTGCACTTGCTGGAGATGTCAGTGGTGCTTTGGCCATGCAGTGTGTCCCTCAGCAGCACTAGGCTGCAGCACAAGGCCGTGCTGAAGGATGGACACGAGGCAGAGCAGAGCCTTTGACAGCAGTGTGATACCGTGACGGCAGGAGGGCGCCCAGCCAGCGCTCCTCAGAGAGGCCTCCCGACCCTGACTGCCAAAATCCTGCTTTAAGCACAAGAAAATAAATTGTGCAACCTGCCTTGGACTGAATTGTAACACTCAGTGTGGGTGGAGGGGAGAAAGGGGCAGGAGCTGGTCTGAGGATCAGGCCCTGCATCACAGCGTTTGGGCTGGACCACACTAACACCTGGAGCTCGAGCAGCACCGGGCTCTGCCCTTCTCATCCCTCACAGGTACGCCCAGGGTCATAGCAAGCCATCAAGCACCTTGCCAGGGATCCAGAGATGCAGCCACATGCAAGCCCCATCCTTGTGCCTGTGCTCAGTCCTCAGGAGCTATGATCTCTCCTAGGCTGGCCTGACCCAGCAACACATTTCTTCTCCCACCCCAGCTCTGACCATCAATATTTCCTCAAGTGAATGTACAAGGAGAATTGCCTCCATACCACTGTGGATCCCCAAACTGCTCTGGCAGTGCATCAACACTAGATGTTTGGTCCAAAGGAGCTAAATAATCTACCAGGATCCTCTCCTTCCAGCTCCTCATCACAAGTGAAAGCACAATTGCAAGCCTTAATTAGAGTAATTTGTTCAGCAATGCAAAAAAAAATAACCCACCCCAAACCCCTGTTTGAGCCTACTTGTCTCTCTTGGCTCTGGTCTAGGACAGTTGTTGCATTATCACAGCTTTGCTCCCATAATTTACATGGGCAGATAGTGATGGGACCATGGGAAACTTCAGACTAAAAGAGAAGAGATT